CTTTACTAGCCTGGAACAGAACAGACAAGAGGCAACAAGCTATTACAAGCCATTTCTACATCTTTGAGATGTCCTCTGAACAGTTCCAAAAATTTTCAAAAGCAATCAGTTAAACAGTTTTAAATAGGTAGCGCTAAAAATTTGTGATTCAAAATATTTGGTACTATTCATGGAACCAAATAATAGTTAATAACAGAAGAAAGACTAGTTTATATTACCTCACCACTTATTAGCAAAGGATTTCTCCCTTCATCGATGAGAACAGAATCAACTTCATCAACAATTGCAAAATGAAATGGTTTTGGCCTGTTTTTGCAAGTCTATCACTAGTAGTCCAAAAATATACCTCGAAATCCAAATTGAAATAGTAGTCTGGGACATACCATCTCATCACAAGTTGATCACTGTTTCCAGCAAGATTATCTCGGAGATAATCAAAACCTAGTTCCTAAAAAAATGTTCAGAAACAATGTTATGAGAAACTTGGCATGGCTGGGTTGAGGGGAAGAAAAGGCGTTAGCAGTAGTCAACAATCAATTGCACCAGCCAAATTAGGAAACCTACCGAATTGTTGGTGTATGTTATATCACATTGGTAGTTGGTTCTCCTCTCTTCAGCTGTCATCCCCTTCTATACGCAACCAAAAATGGCAAAAAATGGGTATATAAGCATGTAAATGGCTATTGAGATCTGCTTCTGATGCATGAATAAAATAAAATGTCTTGTGTTTGACTCTCTGCAAGACTGACACAAGTTTACAATATTCTGCCACTTAGCATAAAAATACCTGAATAAGCCCGACTGAAAGGCCTAAGAATCTATGAACACAACCCATCCACTCAGCATCACGATGAGCAAGATAATCATTCACAGTTACCACTGTTAACAGAAAAATCAGCATTGTCAAATTAACACATCACCATTTGTTCAATGTAAGCCTGTATAAGAGTAACAAGTTGTGACCATATTGGCCTGCAATAAAAGGGAGTTCAAAGGACTGCTTAAATCTAGTTAGAGGTAAACTAGATGAACAAGTTGTCCCTTTTGCTAAACATTTTATTAGATCCTTATATAACCTGTGGACCTCATAGTCGATCTTTTAGAGTATAAACAGAAACAATAAAGTACATCTTTAGATTAATTTCTTTTCCAAAAAAAATGGAAGAATTAAAAGCATACCATGGACACCATCACCCCTCAGTGCATTAAGATACGCTGCTAATGTGGAAACCAATGTTTTTCCCTCCCCTGTTCTCATCTCAGCAATGGACCCATCATGAAGCACCGCTCCACCAATAATCTACCATTAAAAGACCTTTAGAATAATACGGGATTTCAAAATGAATAAACAGGCATACTTGTATACTGTGACGTTATCAAAGATACATGATCACACCGTCATACAGTAGTGGATGCACATTGATGGTAGGGTGGGCACATGCCCACCCTCAAATTTCCTAGAATTCGAATTTTCTTCTTTACAACTCAAAGTTTTCTTCATTAATATATGTGTGCCCACCCTCAAATTTTATGGTGCCCACCCTAAAATTTCATCATATCAAAAAATTTATATTATTAATATATGTGTGCCCACCCTCAAAAAAAATTTCTAGATCCGCCACTGCCGTCATACATGCATTTTATCTTTGATCCATATAAATAAATAAAAGTCAATACCTGCACATCAAAATGGCGCATGCCAAGTTTCCTTTTCGCAGCTTCACGAACCACAGCAAATGCCTCTGGAAAAAAATTACGAAACAAACAAAAAGAACATTTTTTCATATAAAATTCATAAATCAACCCTCTTGGACACAAGATTGATAAACACTAACCAGCTTGAATATCCGAAACAGAATCTCCTTGGTTCAACCGTTTCTTAAATTCGGAAGTTTTCGCACTCAACTACAACAAATAAGTCCAGTCCATCACTCCGATGACACAAACAAAGGAAATGCAAAAAAGCGATTCTAAACAACCCAACCAACCTGCTCATCAGATAGCCTCTGAATTTCTGGCTCAAGTGCATTAACAGAGTCGACTAGAAGATAATAATTCCGAACAACCCACCAGTTTAAGTTAGTACAATCAGTCAAAGTCTTCTTGGAACGACCCACGTTCTCCTGAAACAGAAACAAAAACAAAAAAGGGGGCACCAAAAATGAACAGAATCAACTCCAAAGAAACATATAATCAAACAGTTGGCCGGCATTTGTGAATAGTTAAAAATGAAGCAAAACAATGCCTTGAGAGACGCAGCTATAGGCGTTTGTCCATTAGAATGATGTCGTCGGAGGATGAGAGAAGAAGGGAAAGATGAAGGGAAGAAGAAAGGGGAAGTGGGTTTCGCAGAGGGGAAGGTTTTAAGTCGAGTGATAGAATTTGGGGAAAGGAAAGGATTGTTGAGAAGAGATGGCGCGGTTGCCATTTCGGTTTAGCTTTGCAGTTGGGTTTTCCTATGAATTATGTATGATAACAATTGTCTTTCATTAGCGTACGATGAGGGTCGACTGCGTCCGCATTTGCTCACGGGCAATTGAACCCATAAATTTGAATTTCACCTCATCGAAGTCTCGATGGCCGATGCCAATTGATGTAAAGAAAAAGAGTAAACTACACGTGCGGTCCCTTATATTTTCAGCCCCTTTCGATTTTTGTTGCCAATTTAAAATAAAGTTGTTTTAGTCTCTTACATTATCGAATTGTTCGGTTTTAATCTTTCGGCCATTAATTATCGTTAACTTATTAATATAAGTCTGAGTTGGTAATAAAAAAAGAATTCGTTGAGTCATTGAAGATTAGAAGAAATTCATACTCAAATTCTCAAAGGTGTTCTGAATCTCTTTAACTCTATCCATGGTCAATTAACTGCTCTTGACCTTGAAAGATTTCACCTTTATCCTCAGCAAAAAAATATTTTCCTTTTATTTATTTGTTTATTTACTCAAATTTCATTGAATTATACTTGAAAACTAAAATTTTTAATTATTTTAAATGGAATGTGTCCGGTGTTTGTGAGTACTATAAATGGTGCGGATGTGTGCAAGTATACACAATCGAACAAGTAATAAAGTGATAAGTGAGTATCGTTCTCCACAGGGATTGGGGAAATCAAATAAGTTTGTCACGGCACTTTACTCTGTCACCTAAGTAAAGTTAGAAATAGTAAATATACAAATGATAATGCTGTAGCAAAATGAATCGATGGTATGGAAATGGAACGATGGCAATGTGGTAGCAAATGGATATGTTGTGGCAAAATGAATTATGTGTAGTGCAATCAAATAAAAACGTAAAGGCAAAATAAAATGTAAATACTAGATTTGCTTATAAGAACTTTAGACTCCTCACACGACAAGCTACTATGGGAATAAGTGATGGGAGTCACTAAGGAAAATCTAAGTCTACTTTTCAGAATGGTCTTACTTTTATGCCTTAACTGCCCGACAGAGTTTACTAAGGGTGCCCTATGCTATCTCTAGTTAAGGGACTCGACAGATTGAAGATGCTTTGGCAAAACCGATTGGTGTTAGCTACTACAGGGATCCTATTGGTCCAGATAACAGGATATGTCTCGACAATTCCTTTTTGCGGCAGCATTAACATCCAACTTATCGCTCATGCACAACTCCTTTTAGTCGAATGAAATCCTAGCCTTATCTCTAAGGTGGATTAGGCCTAGTTACTATCTAGAACCCCTTGCTTATGTGGTTCCTCCCTAGTTTCTCTCGAATACTAAGAATATGCTACTTAGGCATTCTCTCAAACACTAAATAATCACTTAAGGAATGACTACTCTCATAGCTCCTACAACCTTAAGGCATTAAAATTCATAAGCAAAACAGCTTATAACATAGAAAAACAATCATTCATTAAAGCAAATCTTAAATATCCAAAATAAACTCCCACCAAATAGGATTAGTTCATGGTGGGATTCGAAATAAGCAAGCACAAAGCAAGTTAATTCGTTCCTTACAACCCAAATAATAAATATGAAAGCAAAGAGCAAAGGGAAGGAGGAAAAGCCTTCGACATGCACTGCCAGAGCTTCCCTCGGCCACCACGAACAGTCCCAGCGATCTCGGACGCCTAGTTCGCCACTCCCTCTAGCCTGTTAACATAGGAATGCCACGGCAAATCGATTTGACTGAGAACTTTTTCTCCGAATTTTTAGGCTCTTGGCGACTGTCTAAAAATCTCTCTATCCCCAAAAAGTCAGGCTTCATCTTCTATTTATAGGGGAGAATGAACCTAGGGTTTTGTGTTAAAATTACACTAGCACCCTAAAGTTCATTCATTTTATGTGAAAATTGGTGTAAATATGGTAATTGACCCATCCTTTAATGATGATTGCATAAAACACTTTTTTATGCCGTGACAACTGGCTTTTATTAAAAATATTTTTCTCTCGTTTTAATCGCTCTCGAAATGCCAACTGGTTCGGCATTTGCATTTTGCTCAACAGTCTCCTTATGTCATGACATTTCCCTTTTACTTTTCCTTGCTCTCAAATCCTGCACATCACCAGAAAAATACTTTCCCCATAAAGCAGCACTGATTACAAAATAAAATGCCGCGGTAAACAATATTTCACCACATGCAACTATATGCTCCTACATGCAACTATATGCTCCTAAATGGGCTCTTAGTCAGTCAATAACTTAAGTGAAAAGGTCTCAAATATGACCTTTTTACGGAGTTATCATAATGCAACAAGAAAATTCGCATGAGACACAAAGTTAATCGAATTTGTCTAAATTCAGGCTAATTCAGTGACTTTGTTATGATGGGTTATTTTTTTAATTGATGTTGATGTTGATTTGAATTTGTTAGATCAACGTTGAGTATAGTGGAATTATAACAGTATCGAGTCAATTTCTTAAGAAGAAAAAGAAGACACAAGAAAACACGATTTTTTTTAATTGTCAACTCAGACATATTAATGAGTTAACAAGTATTGACGACTGAGGGACTAAAATTCAATGAATCGATAACATAAGGGACCAGAATCACTCTTTTTTAAATCGATGTCTAAAATTAAAGTACAATGATTCACCGGTGATGAAGATTTAACTACAAAAATGGTAATAGCAGCATATAAGGCGACAAATCGGCAGGTCAAATGGACAAAAGATGAAGATATCACAGGCATTCTTCAACGGTGTCTATTCCTAATGGACTGCATGATGTTAGCTTGATTGCTTGGAACTTCAGATCCCGAAATGGAGAAGGTGATGTTATAGCTCGAGTATTCCCAAAATAAAGGACATGATGTTAGCTTGACTGTTTGAAAGTAGTAGGAGGAAGGCTCGAATTCGGGGGAAGATTGACCGGTTGCTTCATGTACTTGTGCCTGTCGTCACCCTGCTGCAGAGATAACTTCTCTGGACGGAAATGAGATCCATCTAACTCCAACTCAGGCTTCCTTTTCACCTTTTTCTTTGGTAGTGAGCTATCTGCCACTTTTATTTCATCCATGGCACTGCTTGAAATGCCCTTTAATTTCTCCTGCTTTAGTCTATCAAAACTGGAACCATTTGTTGAGGGATCAGGAATCTGGACGGCCGCTGCTGTTGTGCTTGAAATCGACTTGTTAGTTGAAGGTAAAACATGAGTAGCAGAATCAGCAGCCGACCTCTCTCGCATGTGCTGTGTCTGAGCACCTGATGCAGACTCCACTCGAACACTCTCCTCCAATCCCGGTGCCAACATCTTTTTCCTATTCATTTTCTCTTGTTCCTTAAAAGAGGTAAAAACGAACAAGATAAGCAAATAGCAACCAGCCTGAGAGAAATCAAAGAAAACACATTTGTCTACAACAAATAGCGAGTCCATCATATTGCCTCACTAGCAACAACCAAGAAATTTGGATACACTGTAAAGGAACACCCAGCAGCCACCCAATACTGGTTCACCTGAGATCCTAACAATAATAAAAGAAACATGGGCTTGTTTGCCTTACATGTTTGAAAAATAAAGGTTTATGCAACCAAGCCAAAGGAAACTTCAAATCTCATGCAATATAAACGTTTCCAAACGAAACTTCAAATCTTGCTATATAAGCTTTGTCAAGATGGATTACAGCAGAAGGAAAATATCAGGGAAGCAATTTCACGTACCTTTTGTCTAGTAAACCTTACTCTCCGTCTTTCCTTTTCCCTACAAATTGCACGTTTGATCTCATGGTTGTCCATCATACCATGTGGCCACAGCTGTGCAAGCTGCTCATGGATAAACTCCATATGTAAGATAATAATGTAACATAGAAAATAGAAATAATAGTTGAGCATTATGAGTCATGACCAATAATCAATAGTTTCATCACCAATAAGTTTGTACAGAAGGAACATAATCAAAACAAAGAACATGATAAAGGTAACAGCAGAAAATGAGTTCAAGAAGCATGAAAATATCGATTCAAATTATTTGAAAATCAACAACAATGAAAACATAGGACAAACTCTATGGGGTTCTGCTAAGAAACAAGAAGCGTTTAAAGCATTTTTTTAAGTTGTAAAAAGAAAAGATGCAGTTAAAGGGGAAGAGAATGGACAGAGAGTACACAGATGAGGAACGACGAAACAATCTTATGCACCTTCTCCGTCAAAAGGCAGAGAGTGATATGATCAGAAGCTATGAGAAAACAATAACTGCAGAAACATATTTGGCCACCTTATAAAGGATCTCATTTTGAGTTTATGACTAAAGTAACTGCCGGGTATAGAGACAAATGATAGGTGCACAACCTCTACATATAGCTTTCGGATTTTTGGACCAGCATCTTCATCCAATCCCTGGTAAAAATAAACAATAACATATAACGTTCATTAAGTATTCCCCAACACATGATTTTTTTCAAAGGTCACACACTAGGACATATGATTACATCAACAAAGATGTCATAAAGGTCACAAATCTTGCTCTCCAAAGATGCATCCATGCTAAATTTCCTTTTATAACCTCTTTCTTCAGAACCAATTTCTTGAAAATCATCAGAAGTTCCAGGTGGAGGCTCCAATATCTGAAAGAATTATTCATTTTTCATCACTAGCAGCAAAATTCTAACTTTTAATAATATAGAGTAACTATGAACAAGATGAAAGACCACAATCAAATAGCAAGAGGGGAACAAAGAGGTAAAAAAGCAAGGAGAAATAATCATGGAATTTGCAATGATGAAGTATTTAAACTAATCAAACCACAAAAAATAAGGAGGGATACAAGATTAAGTAAAACAGCATAGGACAAGAAGATGTGTGGAACAGCTTAGGAAAGAAATCTTTTGCCCTTGATCATAAGCAATGAAGAATAAAGGCTTTTATTAGAGAGGGCAATGAAAAAAGTACACTTAAATCAGGAGAAACTATGAGAGGAAAAATAAAATGAAAAGAAAATATCACATTAATGGAGGGGGACGGAAGACTAAAAAGAACCTTCATCTCAGAAGGAATTCTTGTCTTTATGATCTCCATGACTTCCTTCTTTATCTGTTGAAATCTAGTGTCTTTTTCTTGCTTTGCCGAGACACCTATACTAATCATGACTTTGAGGTTCCTCTGCACCCAAAATATTGTTTCAATGAATATATATACATAATCTACATAGATGATAATACAAATTGGTAGAATGACTGTTGGAAGTGATCAATAAGCGCAAACAAGAGTAGCTTATAAAAGGAAAAAATGGTAATGCACAAAGTTTCATAGTTTTGTCAAGTTCCATTAGTTCTTTTTCCAAATCTGCAGATCAATAAAGATGATAATTGATAAGCCAGAGGAATTTCTTCTAAATGTCAGAAACTTGATCACACATTTGGCAGTCAACAAACAGTCCTCAAGATCTAACAAGTTTGATTGCATGATTGAAAACCCAAAATGTATGAACTAATTTACGTTAAAAAGTAATCATAGTTGCAATTACAACAATTACAAGTAATCAAACTTCATTGGAACAAAAGCTATATACCATGAACGCAAAAGGTACACGAGTAGAAAAAAGGAGATTAGGCAGAAACTATTTTTAGGCTTGGGTGTTATTAGCATGTTAGCAAGGAATTATAACATTATATTCCAAGCCTTTTTCATGCAAGATTTAGTAAGGGTAAAAAGTTGGAATAGAAATTGAAAGGTTTGTGGGTGTCATATTCATAAACAAGGAAAAATACCTTAAGTGTTCTTAGTTGTATTAAATGACCAAGGAAGCTCATGAGTCGATTTAGTAACTCCTCAGAAACTTTCCCCTGGCTTGCCTGCTGCAAATTGATAAAACAGAAAACTTTTTATTTTCTGAAGCAATCATTCTATTTAAAAACAGTTGAAATATGAGTTATTTTACAGAGTATAAACTGTTGAAAACAGTCCCATACTGCTAATCTAGCAACTTTAGCAAGTTTGAGTTTTATTTGTCTAGGTAATCTCCTCTTAATCCCCTGAGATGAAGCATCAGCCTCTTGATTTTCTACAGCAGGCGGCCTTGCTGTAATTTTTAGATAGGAAGAAAAAGAACATTACTTTTAAAGGAATTCTCTACAATTAAAAAGTGTCACATAATCACATTGCACAAGTCATTTAAAATTACACTCAGCAACCAACTTCTCTAGCTCCCGAATGGCCTTTTCAAGCATGGAACTTTTGGCTCTAAGAGAAGAACCATCTTTTTTCGGCATGTGAGAAGATTTCTGCATGATACATTACATAAAATCAAAACCAATATGATAGTATAAATATCTAATGTAAAAACAGTTTCTCACATCTCTGGTGAACAATAATTTGAAATATTGCAGAGTCCTCTACTCTAATATTTTAGACTACATGCACACACACACACACCACACAAAGAGGGGTCGATGAGATCCTTGAATTTTGCAGTGTTTTTTCAGCAATCCACATTCTTATCAAATGAAATTCGAGGGACTATAAAGAATTAATGCAGAACTGTTTCAATGGACTCTATCTTTAATGCCAAGCAAGCACTGTCTTTCAGTTAAAAGATGTCCTGTAAATCTATGTATGAACTGTTCTTATTGTAAAAAACACACACAAAGATATCAAAAACCTAGTGTTTCCAGATGCTGTAGGTTGTACAGAAGCAGTGTTAGTATCAAAACTCAAACTATGTCCTGTAGCTACTAATTATTATTAACAATAAAGCGAAAGGAAAAATGAGAAATGGAGCAGATTGTCAGAAAGGGAAAAAAGGTGGAGACTAAATAGTAACTTACAGCTGTATGCATAGCATGTTTAGCATCTGACTGTTCACGGATACCATTCTTTTCTCTTGGTCGAAATGATTGTTCAAGCTCATCAGAATTGCCAATTCGTTTTCCATGTTGAGATTTGGATTGTGTACAAGGATTTTTATCATGGCATTTCTGATGCAAATCATCAGAGGAACCAGTTGCATTTTTCAAATTGTTACTGACAACATTTTTTGACTGCAGAACTCCCATCTTGGATTTTTCAATAACCTTCACATCTTCCAAGGGTACATAACTATCACCATTTGGAACTTTCAAATATGCAGAAGAATCCAATGCTAGTCTTGTCTCGGAAGATTTCTTCTTGGAAGGAATACCAGAAACTGAAATTTGATTCTGAGATTTTACATCCCCATATTGTTCACTTAATGCAGTCAAATTCTGAGAAGAATTAGAATTGTTCTTCCCAAGAGAAGGTTCAGACCTCCCTGCAGCCACCCTTGCTGCCTTTGCATGTTTATTTGAAACATGACCATCGTCACTCTCACTAGGAGGTTTTGAAGCAACTTTCCTTCGTCTTTTCTTTGGCTGCTGATTAGGTATAGGAGGAGGCTCATTTCTTGAAAGTGAACGAAAAAGAAAGAAATGAAGTCAGTGAACCAAACTTGACGCAATAGTGCTGCAGCATGAAAAATAAACAAATGGTATATCAAGAATACTAGCTTTACCCTCATTGCAATGAGAAAAGGAACATAAAATTAAAATGGTATAAGGTTACTTCCTAGTTCCTACAAGACAAGCAAGGGGTCCTTGACAACCATTACATTAAAAAGGATATGCGTAGCAATGTTCGTGCTCCTATCAGGAGTTAAAGTTGACATAACAGTGGTTCTCATTTTAGTTTGGTCTTCAAGCAAAAGTTTTCCACATTAAGATATAAATCAATTCATAAATGAACCTAGCTTTAACTGATAAGAAGTGTATGGCTGCTTCCAGTAGTTTATAGGATACATATGACAGCCATCTGAAAAGAATTATTACTAAAGGTTTGTTACCAACCAATGGAGAACAAGAATGAATGAAACTAAAGTCCAAAGAAACTCACACTCTTTCCAACTTTCCCCTATTAACAAAGAATCCATCATGTTTTATGGCTGAATTATCGACTTCAAAATACTCATCCTGCATAACAAGCAATGAAGCAACATGTTATAAAGCAATAAAAATACATTACATAATCCTTGTTACAACAAGAATATATAAGCTACTGCTGCTGAGTGAAAACCAAAACAAACAGCCTAAAAATAAAAGTAACATATGTAAGTACTAACCAGCTCGGCATCATCAATAAAAGAGTCTTCTGTATCATACTGATCATCATCCGGAGTTTCATCCAGTTCTTCCTCATCACTGCTATCTCTACCCTGCGAAAGAAATCCACTTCTCATTCATTAATGACGCAAAGTGCATCTCGAAATGTTGTAAAACATAACAAAACATACAAATACCATGTAAAGACGTTCAATCTTCTCAATAACAGCACTGAAACGATTTGGAACTGGTGCTTCATCTTTGGCGTCTTTTTCAGCTACTTGTCCCTAAACATTGTCAAGCATGATTATCGAGAGAGAGCAACAACAAAAAATCAATTACCAGTTTTATTTCACTTTCCCGAAATTCTAGGCAGCCACAATATTAACACATTCAATATAACAAAAAGTTCCAAGCACGCTTTCTAAAATAAAACGCCACAAAACAAGTTTAACATCATGTAGGCATGGATGTAAAGAACATTAAAAAAATCATAATGAATCCAAAAGTTGAAAAAAGAGAATAGAGTTACGTATAAACAGGGATTGAAGAAGCGGCTCTTACTGGAATGATTCGAGACTGGAGATTAGGGTGAGCATTAGGAGGAGGCTCAGGAGCAGGAGCAGCCAACACAGATGCAGTGGCCACATCAGAAGATCCATTAGCACGGTTGGCGTCTTTAACAAGCTTCCTCCACGAAACAAACGTGGTCTCTCCAGGCCGGAGCTCAAACGCGAAAGCTTTCCGGTCAGAAGACATCATCACCTTCGGCGCAACCATTCTCGAGAGCTCACCACCACTATCGGCTCCTCCTCCGCCGCCGCCGCCACCATCCTTATCTACCATGAAGGAATCCCGGTCGAGTCACCCAATTGTTATCTCTAGGGTTAAATACAAGGAAGGAGTATTCAATAATCAGTCAAAGAAGACTCTAATTTGAAACCTAGATTGGGGAAGTTGATCGGGAAAGAGAGTGGATAAGAAATTGCGCGGGATAACGGGAAAAGGGAAAAGTTTCATGGATTAGAGGGTATTTTATTGTTTAATTTTGTTGGGGTTCCCTTCCCTACCTCCCTTAATTTTCCAATGGAGGATAAAAAGGGTCGGGTGGGTTACATTTTAGGCAAAATTGGCCCAATAAATCAGATAGTTGAAAAAATTAGTACATTATGTCGTATCTAAAATTAATTTAAAATCTATAACAAATGTTATAAATTAGTAACGTTCACGAATTTATTCGAATAATATCTTTTCGATAAAGTATATAAATAATCTCTAAATTTTTAAAACATTTGCATTTTGATCCTTTAATTTTTAAAACTTATAACATAATTATCAAAATTTTAATTTATTTTCATTTTAATCCCTACAGCTAGGTTTTGTTAGTTTTTGCTAACATGCCATTTAACCCGCTAACCCATCCCCTTCTTCTTCAGGTTACTTTTTCTTCTTCTCCTCCAAGTTATTTCTTCTTCCTCCTAAAATCCCACACGCTCATCGCAGGCTTCATAACCTGCAGCCGCGCGCCACCGCCGCTAACATCCAACACTGTAACCAAATCAATCGGAGCCCTCTTCACTCTGCGCGTGGTGGTCGGTGCGTGCACTTTCATGACCACAACATAACTCCTCCCAACCGCCACCATCGCCGCCTCTTGTAGTAGTTTAACCTCCATATGTCTCGGATGAACTTCAATCTCTTTCCCTCTGAATTCATCTTCCACATCATCGTTTTCCGGAGTGGGATTGAACTGAGAAAGTGAAAGAATGGAGCCCGATGGTTCATCGTCGTTGTAAACCCGAAACGACTTGGCCTTCGTGTTGATGTTCTTGAGAGAAGTTTTATTGGTCTGATCAAGTGAAAGCAAAGAGAGCTCCTTCCATAAGGTGAAACAAACGGGGCAATTTAAAAATGGCTGTTTTTTTATGTGGCCGGCGACGCATGGGAAATGAAAAGAATGAGAACACTCCGTCGTGAAAATCGTCGTACCTTGACCCGTTTTTCACGCTCCGTGAACAGATTCCACATCGACCAACCTATGAGAAGAAAAAAAAGTTAAATACTTTCTTAAACAAAACTTTGACTCTCAAAACAAAACAAAACGAGAAAGAAGCTTACTTTGGAAAAGCGAAGAGTTGTCTTGAGAAAGGAGAAAGTGGAAGGGGATTCAGGGGAGGAAGGATTAGAGAAATGGGATGCTTTGCAATGGAGCTTGGGGCTATTGGGAAGTGAAGATGGGTTCGAACTGGTTGGACAACGAAGACCTGGGCTTGAAGCGGGTTGAGATTGCAATCTCGGCTTTGATGGGTTGGAGAAAAACCCAAACTTTGAGCTAAATCTTTGTGTTTTGGTGCCATTGCTTTGCTGCTCCGGTTGTTTTTTTATGGTAAAACAAACATTTTGACTCTTCTCCAGTCACTCACCATTTTTAGACTCTTATTATTATCTATGTTTTCAGTTCAATCTTTTATTCAGAGAAAGATTGAACAAAATGATGGTACAACCAAACATGTGTTTATAATTTTAAATTATGTTACAACCAAACATGTTTTAAAATAAATGTCACATCAGTAAAAATTGACTGTAAGTAACGGCATGGATTAAAATGAAAACGACCTTAAAGTTTGATGATTGTATTTCAAGTTTTAAAAGTTGAGTGATTAAAATATCAATGCTCTAAAAGTTTGAGGAGTATTTATATATTTTATCATATTTTTTATTCAAATTTAGTACATCGAGGTGACAAAGAGTGACAAATTTCGATAAAAATATATCAAAGTCACTATAACAAATGCCGTTGTTTTCAAAATTAACAATAATTTGTATAGTATTGGGTTAAATAATTAGCCCGCATACAGTATTTGGCTAAAATTGCCTACATTTGAGACACGATCATGTGAGTCTGGATCATATGGGTTTATGGGTTGGGATGGCTTTTTAGATTCAATTTAGACAAAAATGATTATGGGTTAGATCGAATTAGATTTTTTACCCACTCAAATTCGATACGAAAATTAAAGTCATTAATCAATATTCAATTTGAATTGAAATTTAATCTAATTTCAGATTAAAATTTATACAGTTGATTTGGTCTATATATATATTCCATTTTCAATAGATAAAATAAATATTTAATTTTAAAAATAAAATAAAAAAGATGTATTATTATAATTACTCGTAAATATAGGAGATAATTATAATATTATACCAAATTATATTAGAACCCAACCTATCTCAGTGGTTGAAGCCATTGTTGTTATTTTTAAAGAATATAAGTTCGAACATCAGAGATTGTATGGTATATTAATATAAAAAATGACCATCCTATGTTTAGGTATGAGATTAATATATTTTATAATTATTTAAATTAAGTTTGACTTAAAAATTAATTTAGAAATTTTAAGAGAACGATCGTACCCTACGTATAATACCCGTAAAAGGAATTATAAAACATAACATTTTCATTTATATCGACCTTAGAATCAATCAATCATGAAGCATTAGATCCCTAAACTTCTTCTTCATATCAACAAATCTCTTATTTTTCCTTTGAATTCATTTTATGTTTATATCAATTTACACGACACCTGTAACCTACAAATTCTTAAATCAATATCTCCTCAGAAATTCTCTGACACGCAGTGAGCACCAAGTTTTCATCAGTGTTTTCTTCTTCCTCCAGCCATTAAAATATTTTCCTATAACCTTTTTATAGGTAGGCCTTTGTTGCACCAAACCCCAGTAGTCTGCAATGTTTGGCCTGCAAGTTATGTATTCATCTTCCAAACCCAGAAGCACCAACCGAGCTAGCACCGGTATGAATGTTGCATCCGCCATGGTGAACTCGTCCCCTCCGATGTAAGTTGTGTCATTCAGCTTCGTTTCAACTTCATCAAGCAGTTGGACCAGACTTTCTTTGCTCCTTTTAACAACATCAGGGTTCTTCAGCTTCTCCTCGGTCTCGTAGGCTTCTCTGAGCTTACCGTGGTATGCGCTAGCGAGGTCCGGTGATTCGGCCATCCGGGCGATCACCACTTTTCGTATGAATTTAGAAACGAAGAGGCGGTGCTTGTCAGGAATGTGTGATAGAGTGAAATACTTGGGGTTCCATTGTTCTATCTTTCGCATCCATTCTATTACTTCTTGGCTGCTAAAGGAATTGTTACCAACTGAGACTGCTGCAATTCTTTCAATGTACCTGCAAATATCTACCCCACTTTAGAAAATCTTCCCTTCGAGTAACAATGGTGGATTGATCAATTCCGGAAACATATCCGATCTCAAATTCTCAATACTTCCTTTACATTTGCAAAATGAGAAACCTTTTTCATCATAGAAACCTTTATCATCATAGAAACCTTAAGTAGCAGATATAATACGCTTTCCATTTTCCAATTACTTTCAAGGTTTAAAAGCAATTACTTAGATACACGCCTTATATTACCTCGATTCATGGTGAGTGTCGGATACGTATATATGTCTGATACGGATACAAGACATGGACATGATTATACGAGGAGAAAAAAGAATCAGAGTAACATAGAACACTTTTTATGCTCTTCAAGAAGCCATTACCAAGCAACAGAAGATAATTCTACTTGTTGCAATGCAAGTCTGAAACTACATACAAGAGCATATATGATTTTAAGCGGATAAAAACTGCAGCTGAAAGGAGAGAAACATACAGGATTGTTTCAACCGTGTCGAAAATGATATGTGAACCATTCTTGAAAACCGGGAGTTTCGCCCTCGTATTCATTCTGAAGAAAGATGAGTTCATGTTCTTGCCAAGAATAGGATTGACATGAAATGAGGTGTAATCAACGCCCTTCTCTTCCAAAGCAAGCCTGACCTTTTGGCTGTTCAATGAGAAAGGGTGATGATATAATTGCATGATTCAATTAACAACAGCTCGAAACGTTAAAGATTGTTTTCACCAACAATGAAACTCTTATCACAATCAAGAACATGAATCCATGATGTCTGCAAATCGGACAGTAACAAAAATGTCTGATCAGCAACTTTCTTCAAATCTAGTAAAAGGAACCTCGAGAAAATCATAACGATTTAAAGCATTAATGGTTGAATAATACAAGCAGGGGAATCCAAGAACAGAGAGGAGGGTCAATGTCATGCTGGTTAACCTTAAAGAATGCTACAATACATTTCAGATCTAAATCATGTCCATAGATAAAATGTTTGCTTGCTTTGGAACAAAAGCAAGCTTAATCAGCAGCTACCACTTAGTAAAGAGGTAAGCTCATCACAATGGTAGAAAACTATGATTAAATCTTATCTTTCTTACATCCATTCACCATAAAGTTACAGAATCCTCAATTAATGAAAGAGAAATCATATGCTTTGGATTGAAAACCTCTAACAAAAAAACATTAACTCCAAAAACCCATTAAAGAAAATGACAAAGCAGCAAAAAGCTCACAAGGAAAACAAAGTCAACAACAAAATTCCGTTCGTTCAGACTATCAAATCAACTCCACAGATTGTTTAAAGCCAAGGGGAAACTAATAACTGCACTTAACAAAAATTCCAAGTTCAGGGAACAATAAGTGCTATAAGAAATTGCATATAAACACATCATGGTGGAAGTTGAACTGAAGTCCAGCCAGTTCGAAGTACGGAAGCTTTAAAACAACCAAACAAAGACAGAATATTAATAAGGATTTAGAAGCTTAGAGAAACCCCACCGATAATATGCTGATTCCAGTAGAAGTAAATCAGGAGATAAAAAAAGCGTTCAAGCTGATTCTGCATATACCAGGTTCCCAAACAACAAAGAAGAAAAAGAAAAACAGACAGAGATAAGGGAAAAGAAGAGATTTACCAAGATGAGAGTGGAAGCTTCAACAAGGGTCCTATGCTACAGAATTTTTGAGATTGATGTGCGTATATTATATATTTATCAAAAAGACCAAAAGATGATCGAACCAAAAAAAGAAGAAGAAGATGAAATAGTGTAGAAAGTGTGTTTAGATTGGGTAAAATATAAGAATGGTTACTTTTGTTTCAATTCTATTAATCTCAGTTTACTGATTTAAAGAAATTATATTTTAATCACTTTCATTATCAATTTATTAAATTTTAGTTTCTGATTAATAATTAACTCGTTAATTTGATGATATAACATACTAGTAAAATTAATTAATTTTTAATTGGCATAATTTCGAAAAATACCTTTAATATTTTCTAAAATAGTCATTTTAGCCCCTATTATTTTTGAAGTATTTTGACTAACGCTTTATTTTAAGGTTAAAAGGTCCTTAACGTTTGACTAGATAATCAATTTAGCCCTTATTCTTTTCTGGAGTATTTTGGCTTCCTCTCTAATCTTACATTTTAAGGCAAAATATCTCTATTTCTAACAATTTTCATAAAAAAAATGACATTTTTACCTTTAATTAAAGAGAAAATAACTTGAGTGACTGAAAATATCTTATAATATACTATTTTAACAAAAAAAATTTAAATTTACGAAAATAACCAACAAATTCATAACGCGATTTCAAATTAGCAATACAAACTCCAATTTAACAATACAATTTTTAAATTCGCAACTCGAATTTGAAATACTCACATAATTGAAATTCGCGAGTTTCACTTTCCCAACCCAGAAATGCACACCTTTCGTTTACTGAGTGCATGTTTCTCTCTATCTCCCCCTCACTGTCATTCAGTTTCTCACGACATGCTTACCATCGATACGTTCATTTATTACCTTCTATTCTTCGAAAACAGATTCTTTTAAGGTCCAGCTCCATTGATGAGTAAAGCCGATGAAGCGTCAGTTTCGAGGAACCCAAAACGGTACATGTGTACTGAGGGAACTGATCCAAGAAGCAGTAATGGAAGTCAATCTTCAGCTCCATCACCTCATGGAAGAAACTCCGCAGCTACTGAAGCAACACCACCCCGTCACAAACAGAGAGGTCATAAGAAACTGATGGGATGGGTTTTTGGGTTCCTCGGCGGAGGGTCAGGCGAGAGTTTTTTTTTTGGGTTTATCGTCTCAGTTATGTTTAAACTGTCCATTGAAACTATTAGAGGAAGAAGCAAAGATGCATGTTAGATAATCCAAAGGATCAAAGACTTAAACAGAAAACAAAGGAAGGCCAGAAATTCTTTCTGGCTTGGACTTTATGGGTCTATGTATGAACATCTTTGATGATCATTCTTCTTGCCATCTTCAATGCATGAGAAGGTGAACGGCCGCACAAGAGTTAATACATGTTAATAACTCTTCTTTTCCATCAAGAGTTATTAAGGGAAAAGATTAACAACCGCCCAAACGGGAGGTAACTTGCCACGTTAAAGACTTAATGACAGCGATTTTTAGGTTGACAGTGACGGGAGAGAGAGACAGAAACATACACTCAGTAAACGAAATTAGAAAGTGAAATTCCCAACGTAAATTTTAATTATGTGTTTGAATTTTAAATTTAGGTTGTGAGTTTGGAAATTGTGTTGTAAAATTAAAGTTCGTATTACGAATTTATTAATTATTTTTACAAATTCAAAAAAATTTAATTAAAATCATATATTATAAGATATTTTCGATCACTTAAGTTATTTTCACTTAATTAAAATGTTAGGGGTACAATATTCTAAAGAGAAAATAACTTCAGTGACCAAAAATCCTAAATAATATACGATTTTGACCAACTTTTTTTGGATTTGTGAAAATGACCAACAAAATCGCAATGCGATCTCTAATTCGCATTGCGATCTCCACTATCGCAAATTCGCGTTGCATTTCGCGTTGCGATAGTTGAAAATCGTGCGTTGCGATTTTCCATTTCGCGTTGCGATAGTCTACAGTTGTTGTTGCGATAGTTTACAGTTGTCGTTGCGATTTTCCAAATTCGTTGTGATAGTTAAAAAAAAAAGATTTTGTTTTTGACCAATTTTTTTTGGATTTGCGAAAATGACCAACAAAATCGCAATGCGATCTCTAATTCGCATTGCGATCTCCACTATCGCAAATTCGCGTTGCGATAGTCTACAGTTGTTGTTGCGATAGTCTACAGTTGTCGTTGCAATTTTTCAAATTCGTTGTGATAGTTAAAAAAAAAGATTTTGTTTCTTAAGAATTTTCTCTAAAAAGATAGTATTCGCGCGGACGTGTCGAAGACACGTATTACCACGACCACGACCCGACCCGAGACGGACGGCAGCGGCGGCGGCGCGCGAGAATCCCCCTTGTTCTCTATCACTCAACAAGGAAGTGGGAAAGCCAAGCCTTAAATACCATTCCCAATAGTGTTTCCAATACTATGTGGGATTGAGCATTACCAACACTTGTTTCCAATCGGGTCGGGTCGGGTCGTGGTCGTGGTCGTGGTCGTGGTAATGGTCGTGGTAATACGTGTCTTCGACACGTCCGCGCAGATACTATCTTTTTAGAGAAACAAAATATTTTTTTTTAACTATCACAACAAATTTTCGCAACGAATTTAGAAAATCGCAACGACAACTGTAGACTATCACAACGACAACTGTAGACTACCGCAACGCGAAATGGAAAATCGCAACGCGATTTTCAACTATCGCAACGCGAAATGGAAAATCGCAACGCGAATTTACGATTGTGGAGATCGCAATACGAATTAGAGATCGCATTACGATTTTGTTAGTCATTTTCGCAAATAAAAAAAAATTGATCAAAATCATATATTATCTGGGATTTTCGGTCACTGAAGTTATTTTCTCTATTCTAAAAATAGAGAGAAAAAGGATCAAAAGCGAAGAGAGAAAAACAGAAAAGAATCAAGCCTTAAGAACTCCCCAAACACAGAGCAGCTAGGGGGATCCAACCAACGCCGGTCTTCAGAAGCTTGTCGCTCAACACTTCGAGGCGCCTCTTCAATCCAATAACGATTATCGCCATCCAAGCCTTCTGCAGCAGCTAACCGGTGGGCCGCCTGATTTTCGGCACGAGGAGTGTGACGAAAGCTACACCGACGAAAAGCCAACGCCTGCTGTCTTGCCTCTCAAATCAGCGCACTGATCTCCGATCTGTCCTGAGCTGGTGAGGAGAGCTTCAAAATCACCGTTCGTGAGTCCCCTTCGAGCTCAACATCATCGAAACCCAAATCCACGGCAAAATTATTGCATGCACAGCAGCATACGCCTCAGCCATGAAAGCGGAGGTAACTCTAGGAACCCTTACACGGCAAGCTCCCAATATATCACCTATTTCATTTCTTACAATCACTCCTGACCAAGCTGTCTTTTGATGGAACAAAAATCGGGTGTCAGAATATACTTTTACGGTGGGAGCACGGGGTGGACACCAGCGAGGTTGGGATGAGATCTGGAGTTGCCCCTGACACAACACATCACCAGCTGAGTCTTCTCGGCTATGGGATCGCACCAAGGTAAGTAAATCCTCTCCCCTTAACAATTATCCTTGATGGTAATGAAGATTCCGGCTATACCAAAGCACCCAGGTAGTAATTAGAATCTCAACATGTCGTCTCCGATCATAATTTGTGAATAACCAGTGTAGCCATTCTAATAAATTTGACGAGAAAAATACGAATAGGCCAATGAAACCCTAACAACCCCCATAGCTGATTTGCAATAATACAATCTCGCACTGCATGAACTCATGTTTCGATTGTTCCCACGCATCTTCGGCAATAAGGGTCCATAGTAACTCGTCGTCTAGAGTGAAGATTCTCCATAGTAGGGATAAAATTCTGAGAAAAACGCCAAACCTGCAGTTTAATCTTTCGTTGACAAGAGCAAGTCCAGATGAAATTTAAAACGGCTTTCGCAGGTTGCGATAATTCGACCTCTGGTTGTAACAGCCGATATCCACTCCGGACACTATAATCACCCGTGCGTTCTGCACTCCACACCCTACTATATATATTTAATTTTTTAAAAATATATGTAATATTTATTTTTATATTTTTAAAATTAGATTAAATGAAAGAACATCTAAATATGGAGGATTAAACTATAATTATATCAATAAAAAAATTAATAGATAAGTGGAGATCTGTTAGAAATTAATTAGTTTATTGGATTTGTTATTAGAAAAGCTTATTAGTTTTTCAGTTGGGTTTGTTATTAATTTTGTTATAATCTTAGACCCAACTAAGATTGTACCCATAAATTGAATCCATTTCTAATAATAAATTTACAGCATATTTTCGTTCTCTGCATTTTTTAATCTAAAGCCTTAGTGCCCTCCAGTAGCGGATCTAGAAATTAAAAAATAGGGGTCCAAAATTTTAATACCCTATTCTAAAAAAATTTGGGTATGTTTACATGTTTCTTTCTCCCCTTCCATTTCATCACCCATCATTCTTTTTTACTATTGACGTCCATATTCTCACATAGGGATGGCAAAAAAAACCGAATCCGTCGGGAAAAACCGAATTAATCGGGTCGGGTTCGGGGATGATAGACGGGGATGGGAAAAACCGAATGTTTTAAACGGGGACGGGTTTGGTAATCCCCGCCCCAATTACCCGAATACCCGGCCTGATACCCGACCCGATAAATATTAAAAATAATTATTTTATATATATATATATATATAATATTAATAAATTTAATTTAAATTAAAAATATATATTTAATTTAAATATATTTAAATAATTGTTTATGCTAAACGGGATACCCGTTTTCCCGCGGTTTTCCTCGATTACCCGATGGAAATCCCCGTTTAAATTCCTACGATTTTTTAAACAGGGACGGATACGAATTTTTTAAACAGGGATGGGAAGGGGGACCAATCCCCGGCCCGAAACCGTCCCTATACTCTCACATGGTATCAAAATTATTCAGGCTTCTAGTTCTTAATCTGAAGGACATTTTTTTTCAATATATAAATTGACATTTTATCATTGATTCTACTCTTTCTGTCATTCAAAGACAGCCATTTATATATGGACACATGATTTTATGTTGGAGTGAGCTTGAATATTAAC